CCCCCCGGCTCTCTCGCACTTTGGCACTCAGCGTCGCTGCCGATGAGACGTATCGAGGGCGCGATCGTAGCGGCGGCTTTGGGCGCGGGGGTGGTGATGCAGACGGAGCCCGCAACGCGTAGCATTGCGTATAGCAAAGGGCTTTCGGGGCTCGGGGGCGGAGGGCGGGTGGACCAGGGAAAAGGCTCTTCTGAAATTCGTCCTGAAATGAGCGCGTGTTTTGGTGACGCGGGCTCTGTGCGGCGCGTCGCTAACTGCTGCGGGGTGGAGCGGCTGGATCGGCCTGCACTTACGCCTCCCCTCTCTCTGCGAGTTTGCAGCCGCGGCCATTCGTCTCCCCGCGTTATCTCCCTCTCTCTCTCTCTGCTGCCCTGATTTGCAACGTCCAACACCAACTTCGACATGCCCTCCCTCCCTCCCTCCCCTGCCGCCTCGAGCCCTTTCCCAGTCCCCTCCACCCGCCCTTCCACATCTTGGCGATCCGCCCCTCTCCGCCGTGCTTCTCGCCCTCCGGCAAGCAGCAGCAGCTCAACGGCAGCCTTTTAAGAAAGAATTGAAAAAGCACTTCCGAGTTGCAGCGGCGGGGCGGGGAGGGGATATCCGGTGTCGGAATGATCTCTCCATCACGGGGTGTCCAGGCCGGCTGTGTCCTTCCCCCGCGACACCCCGGGGCGGGGCGCGCGGTGTAGCGCATTCTCTCACATCGCTACCTTCCACTCGACTCACCACCCTCGTGTTTGTTCTTGTGCAGGTCGGCGCTGACCAGGGTGCCCGCCGAGGACAACGCAGAGGACCCCGCCGAGGACAACGCAGAGGACCCCGCCGCCGCTTCGCCTTTGGCTGTTCCTCGGCCAGCTCCGCGGGCTCCACGCCCCGCCCCCAGGACGGCCCCCGCCGCCCCCAGCTCCGCCCCCGGGTCGGACTTCAACTGGGGCCACCCCCGGATTCACGCCAGGGTGAGCAGCAGAGCAGTACCGGGCCAACCGGGCGATACCCGGGGAAGCGCGGCCTCGGCTCCCATATGTGTTTCGTGTTTATAAAAACTTTTTTGTCCCTCCAGTGTAAATACAGGGGCCGGTGCGGCGCCGGCCCACCTCGGCAGCGGCGGGATGCGAGAGAACGTGGCAGAGCCTCCCTGGGGACGGATTTGGGGCGGGGCGGGGTGGGGAAACCAGGACTCGGGGAGTGTCAACAGAGCTGTTTGAACAGAGCCGAGTGAGGACCGTGGTGAGGACTCTGTGGAAAGGGAGGAGCGCTCGAGCTGCGCGTCGCGAGTGACGCTGGAATAGTTAATTCATCGACAGCCTCTTTGCAGCCCCTCAGCCCACTCCCCCCTCCCCTTATTCCTCGCTCCCGCCACCTGGGACTGGTATTCTCGATGCGCGTCGGTCGGTCGTGGTTATGTCCGGTGCCGGCGCTGGCATTTTACTGTGTGAACCGGTCGGTTGTAGCGATTGCTTTTGATCTGTGCTAAAGTTTGGTCATTCAAATTTCGCCGCCTTTACGAGTGAACTATCCGACTCCTTCTACTGCCAGAACCTCGGTGAGGAATTTCTGAATGTGCCTTGTCGGTTAAACTAGAGAGGTTAGGTTTCTAGAGTAGTCAAGGTTCATTCATTTTTAGTAAGCAATCTCCTCATTATGGTGACATTATTTTGAATCAATATAAGTTTTTGTCTATTTTGAAGATCCCGCCCAGTCATGAGTTAATTTCCCTATCATGTCTTGTTGATCTGTTTAGCCTGTGTTGCTTTCAGCCTGGTGGATTATTGATCTGATTTTGGAATAAGTTTCATTCCGTCATTCTGTTGATGATATTCGTTGTAATTTCAGTTTGATTAGTTATTAGATTTTGGTCGAGGCTCTTTGAGACTCTGTTCATCCATTACATTATGAGATTAGTTTTAAGCTTTAACTCAAGATTTGTACTTGCATAACCACCTTTCTTAAGAGCATATTGATTAAACCCCTTTATTACTACTTGTGTTACAGCACTTCCTGTAGCTATACTGTGGTGGTACATCTCATACATTTGTATACCTCGTGCCCTTTTCATTCGTTCATTTTAAATCAGAGCCCTAGTACTCACTGCCATCAGGCTAAGGCGGCTGCCACAGTTGTCATTCTTTGACTTTAATTCAAGGACTGCGACTGAAATTTGATGGCTACATCTCAGTGTTGTACAGCCTTTCAGTGGCTCAGCGAAGCGCTCCCCCGGAAGAGTAGTATGTAGTACGTACCTCCCCGTCTTGGTGCACTGTGAGAAACGGGACCGAGACACCCGATAAGTATCCGTGTGCTTCTTGCCGTATTCGACCCCATCCATCCCTGGGGCCGCCACGCCCCGCCCCGCCCCGCCCCGCGCACGCCGCGCAGATGTAGTAATGGCTGTTCCGTGTTTCCGCCGCACATTTTCTGGAGACTTTGGCCCGCGGCGACGCGCAGTCCCTCACCGGGCGCCGGGCCGGGGGCAGCGACCCCCGCGCGGCCGGGATGTAGTATACCGCGGCGGTCATGACGGGGGACAGGTGGGCGGTCGGCGCCGCCGCCGGCCGGTCTACGCTGTGGTGTGTGGTGGACGCTCGCTGTTAGGCTACAGGGGTACTTCACTAAAAATAAAAAAAATAAATCAGTGTTCACTCTCTAAAACTTTTATTACAGTATCAGGGAAAATCAAAGAAAAATACATGTAAAATTCAGATTAAAACAAAACAAAAAAAAAACTATGTGTGCGCATGAATTTTTAGTGAAGTACCCCTTGGGCTACATGCAGGAATGTGACGCGGTTGCCTAACCAGCCGGAGCCTTTAATGGTCCGTGACGTTTTCATTCGCGCCCTCTCCGCGTGTCTCCTGACGGGAACACAACACACGCCGCCGTGGCGATGCAGCCACCACCACTCGTTTCCTCCACCCTCCCGGACTCTCTCGCCCCAACCCCCGCGGGGGCCCACGGTGGCGGCGGCGGCGCTGGAGCTGGCGGCGGCCGCCCCCTCGCTGATGGCTCTCGCCTTTCAGTTCGACGTGAGCTGTGAACGAGATGCCGCCCCTCTCCTCCGCCCCCGCCTACGCCTACGCCCTAGACCCCTCCCCCCCTCCCCCTCTCTAGACTCCCTGGTCTTTCGCTGGTCTTCCTCAGGGGCGGATCCAACATTTTGGCCGTTGGAGTTTATTTGCAGAGTTCCGGTCCAGCGTGGCCTTCGGTCTCCCCCTCGACAGTCGTCAGGATTTCTCTTCATTTTATTTGTGGTCTCGTTTGCTCGTTAGCCGTTGGCTAGTCTCGACGACCGCTCAAAGCAACTGTCATTCGCTTACTTTACGCTCTCCTAATTTTGCAGGTGCAGGAGTCGCAGCGTGGGGACAGGAGCGCCCCGCCCGAGGCCGTCAAGACCGACGGCGCTGCGGACGATGACGTCACCGCCGGTGACCGGAAGGAGACGGAGGTCGACGCCGAGGGCTCGAAGACCGCCGTCGACGAGCACCGGGGTTTCGCCGCCGCGTCCAGCTGGGTGCGCGGCCTGGAGGCAGCGCGCGCCCGTCGGACCGTGACGGCTCCGGAGCGGCCGGCGGGGAGACGCGACCCACCGCCGCCGCCGCCGCCGACTCAGCCGCGAACCGCGGGCCGCAGCCGGCGCAGACAGGCGCTGTCGCTGCCGCCGGCACCCACCGCGATACCGACCGCGATACCCGCCGCGGTACCCGCCGCGACGCGCGCCATGGACGCCGACGCCGGCCTCGGCTCGTTCCTCGGCGCGCCGCCGTCGCCCTACTCGTGGATGAGGCAGCCGTCGCTGTCGTGCCTGTCGGCGGCCTCGGACCCGGCGCCGCTGCTCGACGCGCTCGTCCGCGCCCGCCGCGCCCGCCCCGCGTCGACGCGCAGCGTGCTCAGCGACCACCACCTCCGCACCCGGACCGAGGCCGGCGGCACCAGGTTCACCCTCGCCGTCGGCGGGCTTCCCGGCTCCACCGCGCAGTCGTCCGCGGCCGCAGCCTTCTTCGCCAGGTGAGTCCACCAGTTCCGTCCGTCTGTCCTCTGGGAGGCCCTCTCTCTCTGGCCCGTCCGTCTTCTGCCCGTCGCCTGTTTCGTGCCGCAGGTCGCGTGCGCCCGGCGTGCCCCGCACCATAATGCGTGACGACACTTTGGCCAACTCGGGAAACAAAACTTTTTGGGCCCGGTGATTTTTCCCGTTCCGTCCGCTCTCCCCCGGCAGATCGAGGGGTTGGCTCGTCGCGGGGCCGAGGGGGTCGCGGGGGCGCTGCCTGTCTGATCTGTAGGGGCCGCCCGCGCCGCATCAGTCCAGCAGCGCCGGCCCGGGGGTCGCAGCGGGGCACAGGAGCATAGGCTGCGCTCTGTTGACCTCCCCCTCTCCGCCCGGGCGACACTTTTTTGTGTGTGCGGCACGGTGGAGGGAGAGAAGGTGACGGCACGAGGAGTCTGCTCGTAGGTCCAGAATCTCGACAGGTTGGGGGATTAACGCCCTAGTCGGGGCCAACTGTAGGGCCTGTTCACACTACCTTCAGTTGGGGCCGCCGTGCAGGTAGGTAGGTGGGAAGCCCAGACTCAGCTTGCGCGGGACGAGCTGGTACCTGACTACTCTCTCGCACACTCCGGCCGGGTGAGCCCGGGCGAGGGTCGGCGCCGCTCAAGCTAAGTCGGGGCGGCCCAGGTATCTGCATAGGCCGCCCCGACTGCAGGTACTCTGTACCGGCACGTTAGATAGCCCCGACTCG